GCCTGATGCGGGGCTCGATCCCAGGACCCTGGGATCATGACCTGAGCCGAAGGCAGATGCTTAACGACTGAGCCACCCAGGCGCCCAATTCCTATTTTTTTAATAACTTATTTTGTTTTTTCATTTTGTTTTTCCCCAGTTTGTTTCTAAATGATCAGCATGGTTTTTATGCCCAATGCTATGCCAAGTAAATTAAAAGTGACCCTGCCTTTCCAGTAAGTTGCACATTTATGTGGACACATTCACACACTGAAAATACAGATGAGCTCAAATATTACAGGCTCAGTATGACCATCTGGGTGTTTAAAACATGATACAGTTTGTATTTTAAGAAGATAAGGACATAATGTGAAAGTTGGAATTGATGGCTGAGGGCAGTGGAAGTCCGTTTCTTTTTTTCTTTGTAACATTTTTTGTTGTTGGCCTATTGCCCTATTGCTTGTTATCTTGACTCTTCTGTTCAGTTGATCTTTGCTTTTGTAGGCCAATTCTCACAAACTTATTTTAGCAGTAATAAATCAAGAAAAAATGATAAAATAGATACTACAATTCTTTTTTAAAAAAAGATCTTATTTATTTGAGAGAGAGAGCATGAGCGGGGAAAGGGGCAGAGGAAGAGGGAGAAGCAGACTCTCCGCTGAGTAGGGAGCCTGACGCAGGGCTCAATCCCAGGAATCCCGGATCATGACCTGAGCTGAAGACAGACACTTAACTGACTGAGCCATCCAGGCACCCCAATACTACAATACTCTTTTGAACCAGTGTGTTCTGTAATCAGTATGCTTAATTAAATCTTTGGAATAAGAACATGATCAAAATATTTTTGAGTGGCTTTATGATTATGTATTTGCTATAAAACTACTTCATTTATATCTCTCTAGGTTGGCAAATAAACAAGACAAGGAAGGGGCTTTAGGAGAAGCTGATGTGATTGAATGCCTGTCTCTGGAAAAATTGGTCAATGAGCACAAGTGCCTATGTCAAATAGTAGGTTTTTGGTGTTTTTTTGCCCTATGAGATATGTTCAGCATCACTTAGTTTTTATAGAGGTGATAGGCAATTAAGTGGTAGACACGTAACAAAATAATTTATTAGTGTCTTAAATAATTTTTTTTACCCAAGAATTCACATTCTCACTTTTCTATTGATATTATTTAATACTGTAACATATGTTTTCTGGTTAGTTGTTACTTCCATAAACTTTCATCATTTCAAAGGCTTTAGATTTGCTTTCGTTTAAGATATTGCTGTTAGGACCTGTAAGTTATACAAACATGTCATACTATAAATTTTGTAGAATGGTAAAGTATACATACAAAATTTAGTGATAGGAGAGGTTATAATGAGTTTTGAAAAATTGTATCAGGAGAGTTATCCTACAATCTTAAGAAAGGTGGACAATTTAGTTGTTCATTCTGGTTTCAGAAGATAACCATTAGGCTGTCAATCTTAAAAGATGTTTACTGCTATAAATTCCCTGGTATATAAGGAGTTAAAACTTTCTGCTGTTTTTAATAACTAGGGGTATTTTTCTTCTGGCAATATAATTTTGTCTTCCATTGGGTTTGTTTAAAATTATAATTGGCACTGTCAACTTATGTCATAATGTGTCTCATAGCTTACAGATATAATCCAAAAAATATTTCGACTTATATGTACTAATGTTAGTTTAGTGATCATTGCAAAGTTGTCTTTTGTAAGTTAAATAAGCAGATGCTTCATATCTCATATCATATAATGATAATTTGCCAGTAATTATACTTAATGGTTTATATACAGATCTTTGTGGAGAACTTTTAATTTTAATCTTTAAGTCAAATAAATTGCTGTTTTCAGGAACCTTGTTCAGCAGTCTTGGGATATGGAAAGAAAATTGACAAGTCCATTAAAAAAGGCCTTTATTGGCTGCTACATATCATTGCAAAAGACTTTGATGCCTTAAATGAACGCATCCAAAGGGACACAACAGAACAGCGTGCTCTTGAAGAACAAGAGAAACGAGAAAGGGCTGAACGAGTGAGAAAATTACGAGAAGAGAGGCAAGTAGATTTATTTGTACCACAGCACTTGCAAAGTCAAGAACACCACAGCTTTATGAATAACTTTATAGTTTTGTCTATTCAGTTTCCTCTTGCTGTATGAAGACGGTAGGTAAGGTTTTTATTTCTCTGGATTTTTCTATATACAAGTTTGGGTGATAGGGTTCTAATTTTCCTAGTGGTGTTATAACAATTACATTTATTCCTTAGTTATTTATTATTTCCCAGAATTTGAAGATTTTTATCTCGTCTTATGGGTAACATTGGGATAGTGGTTCTCAATCCATGGGGTGATTTTGCTTCTCAGGACATTTGGCAATGTTCAGAGATATTTTTACTTGTCCCATGGGGGTAACTGGAGAGCTACTGGCATCTAGTGGGTAGAGGCCAGGGATGCTGCTCAATATCTTGTGATACACAGGACCGTCTCCCACACAAAGAATTATTGGGCTCAATATTTCAATAGATTGAGAACCCCTTCTTTTTAGTCTAAGCAAAGATAGAAGGTAAGCTGTTAGTGGATATGTCAACTGATGCAAACTCTGATCTTTGTCAGAAAGTAGATTAAATTTCAGTATCTCAGTGTTTTAAAATATGTTTTTAAAATTATTTTAAAAATATGGTGTTTGAAAGCAAACATTTAAATGGAATTTAGCAAACTGAATTAAAAAAAGAGATTATATAAATTCTACCACAGAATCATAATAATCTTAATGTGCAAGAAAGTACACAGATTTGATTAGAAGTTGAGTTTAGTACTTAATACCATGATTCAGCTTTCTTTCTCCACTGAATTGTTATGTGGTAGGGGAGGGGAGAAATGAAAAGATTTATTTATTTATATAATATATATAAAAATATATATATGTGTGTGTGTATATATATATATATATATATATTTTTTTTTTTTTTAGAGGTGGGGGTAGGGAGGGGCAGAGGGCAGGGGGAGAGAGAATCTTAAGCACACTCCACACCCAGCAAAGAGCCCAATGTGGGGCTGGATCTCACAACCCTGATATTATGACCTGAGCTGAAATCAAGGGTCAGACACTTAACTGACTGGGCTACCCAGGCCCCTAAAATGAAAAGATTTTTAAGTGAGTTCCTGTAAGATACAAAGTTGTCTCCTGTGTATCTAAGTAATATTGGCCTCCAATGTGCTTTTAACATAGTTGTAGTCTGGTAGGCAAGAACCCACTAATTACCCTTGGTGATGCCTTTGTGAGATGCTTCCTTACACTGCTGAGGAAATCCTCTGATTACTGGTATCTTTCATTTAATTCAGAGATGGGACTTAAAGAAATATTTCTAGAGATAACTCTCCATCCCCCAGTGCTCAGTAATATGAGCAGATTATTCATCTAGGTCTTTCTTGATACCAGTGTGAGATTTTAGTAAATGTGAGAATCTTTGGTTTTCTCTATCCTAGTGTATCATATTTCCATGTTATAAAGCTCAGTACAACCAGTAATTCATGGGAGTATACCTTTTATTTTCTGAAGACTCTTTTGCTTTTCCTCCACTAAGAAAGCAAACAAAAATAACCAGAAAAATTGAGTTGGATAAAAGAAGTCTAATGTTAGTCATTTTTTTTTTTCAAGTTTTTACCTTTTCCATAAAGATATTCTAGATCATGTTATGGCAGGCTTTTCTATTATCCATTCCCCTTTCCTCCTTTCTCCTAGCCATGTCACTTGTGGTCTGAGCCCTCTTCTGTTGAGCAAAGAGACTCTGTAATTAAAAGTGAATTGACATTTAGAGACAAGTTATTAAAAAAAGAAAAAAAAACTAATTAAATCCAATTGAGTAGGTGCAGATATTTTTGAAAAACAGTAAAACATGCTGTTGTTGATAACCTGAAAATATTATGTCAGTACTAGATTACCTGAAATTGCTTAGTGATAAATGAATAACATTAAGAGCAATTACTGTCTTGTAGGTATGTTCATTGACACAGTGTTTTTACATACAGAGTGCTTTGTCTACACAACCCTATGAGGTAGATATTTTTATCCCCATTTATGGGAAAGCTGAAGCTTAAATATCCAGGCAGAAGTCCAAGGTCACAGAGGTAATAAATCTAACTCTTGGCTTCCTGTGTTCAGAATGAATGGATATATCTTTCCATAATAGAACATAATAAATGTCATAGTAATGAGCATTCATATTACCATATTTACAGCGTAGTTGCAGATCTACAATACTTTTTTGTCTTCGGCTACTTGTTTTAAAAAGTAACTTATTATTCTTCATGCCTGGGGCAATGTAAGCTATAAATAACAGTGATAGTAAGTGTTTCAGTAGTAACTAATGTGAAAATATTTATTTAATCTGAATGATATTGGGCAACTTAGTTTTATAATTTCTCTACTTTTACACAACAATGATTGTTATCCAGCTCATTTGTGACATACAGCTTGACACAGCCCTGAAGAAGGGTGTTAACTAGAGGACTTACTTATTTGTTAACTTCAATGAGGAGGACGGCATTTGTTTGGGAGGGTAATTAAGAAATTGATGAATATAAACCTTTGGGACATAGAAAATTAATTAACAAGCACCACTGACATTAAGAAGTCAGTCATAGGGAATGCTATTTTTGTTAGCATTTCTTTTTTTTCTTTTTTTCTTTTTTTAAAGATTTTATTTATTTTTTGACAGAGAGAAACAGCAAGAGAGGGAACACAAGCATGGGGAGTGCGAGAGGGAGAAGCAGACCCCCTACTGAGCAAGGAGCCCGATGTGGGGCTCGATCCCAGGACCCTGGGATCATGACCTGAGCCGAAGGCAGACACTTAATGACTGAGCCACCCAGGCGCCCCTCTTTTTTTTTTAATTCAAACGATCAACTATGGAATATTACTCAGCCATAAAACATAATGAGAGCTTGCATTTGCAACAGCATGAATGGACCTAGAGGGTATTATGCTAAGTGAAATAAGTCAGACTGAGAAAGACAAATACCATATGATTTCAGTTATATGTGTAATTTAAAAAAGAACAAATGAAAAACAAAGCAGAAACAGACCCATAAGCATGAGAACAAACTGATGGTTGCAGGGGGAAGGAGAGGTGGGCAGGCAAAATGGGTGAAGGGAAGTGGGAGGTATATACTTCCAGTTATGGAATGAGTAAGTCATGGGATGAAAAGGATAGCCCAGAGAATATTGTGATAGTGTTGTATGGTGACAGTGACTATACTCGTGAGCATAGCGTAATGTATAGACTTGTCAGATCACTATGTTGTACTCCTGAAACTAATGTAATATTGTGTTTCAACTGTACTTCAAATAAAAAGTTCAAATGATTAATCTTTACATGGGGCTTAGAGGCCTATTATCTGCATTAGGATTTCTGAAAGTCTCTGCATAATTCAAAGCCATGTTCAGATGTTTAACTTACTTAAATAGCCTTAAACCTATTACAAGTGTTCTTAAACATGGGTCAGCATATTTTCTCATAAGGAATTCCAAATTTTTCTCTCAAACGATAGAGAACAAGGAGAACGAGCGCAGGCGGAACTGAATGGAACCAGCAGCCTAGCTGAGTTGGACCCTGAACCAATTATTGTTAATCCTTTCCAGCCAATAGCATCTGTCATCCTTGAGGTATGGATGGTGGCAAATGTAATTTTTATAACTTAAGTTATAAAGTTGGAAGTTGAGAAAGGAGGTAGGAAGAAGTGTTCACCAGAGATTATTTCTAAAAGAAATTAAATGGGAGAAATGGATTAAAGGCTTGCTGCTTTTTCTTCTTCTTAATGTTTGCTTTTTGATCTAATATAAAAAGGAAAGCTGACTTCTGAATTAACTGAGAATGAAAATGAAGATTGAATGTAGCAACTGTCATAGTTACTATCCTGATAAATCTTTTTTTGTCATATGATAGTAATGTATTTACTCATACGATAGTATTTCATATGATAGTAATGTATTTACTCTTACATTGTCTTTCTCCCTGTGTTGCTGTTACTATCCCTTTAAAGTAATATTAAATGCTTATGATGCATTTTAGAGTATGTAAATGATTTCCTAATTATTTTCCCAGGATACTTCAGAATGTTTGAAACTATAGTAAGTTCTTCTATATATGAATATAATTAATTTTAATTTTAATTGTCAGAAGTTTTACCAAAATTAATTTTTAGACTTTAATCACAAAGAAGTTAAGGGACTATATGTGTGTGTGTGTCTGTATATCTCTATCTTCGTTTTCATTTTCTACTGGTGTCCAGAGTTCGCACTGGCCTTTGCTTTAATTACCCTCAGCAGCCATGCCTCCTTAGAGGCAGAGCTTCCTAAATCTCCATTCACTTAGAGCTTAATGTGGCAGCTGGCTTGGTGGCCCCATCTGTATATTCTCCATTCCTCTTCCCCTGTCACTGCCTCCTTCCACACAGGTGCTCATCTGGAAAGGTGGATGATTGTTTCTTCCTTGGGGCTGCTGCTGAGGAGGGAGGCAGCTCCACAGGTAAGAAGATGATTGGATAGTTTTGGTATTGCTTTATTTTGCAGAGTAATTGGTAATATGAGATAGTTTGTCTTAAGTTGCTTAGATAACAGAAGGTTAATTGTATTTAATCTTTTTATTAACCCTACTACATTTACCTTAAGTATATGCTTTTCTAAGTATATTAAAGCTGTCTTAATAACTTGAGCTATTGATTTATCTCTATCCTATTAAATACTGTGGTTGCCAAGTTTTGTTGTATGTTCTTTAAAAAATGCTGATAGGAAGGAAATCACGTTTGACTTTTCACTTTGAAACATGCATTTTCTCTATATTTGTAATAAAGCTCATCTTGTAAATGATGACTGATTATTTTATAGTACCATGGTTATAAGTTACTTAGAAGGCCTTAGTGCTTCTACCAACATTGTATTTTTCATGATATAAAGATATGAACAATAATGGTGTATAGCATAGTATACCTCATATTCAAAGTCCCTGAACTAATTAGTGGCATACAGAAAGTATAGTTATTGTGCTTTTAAACTATGTTAATTTTAAGAATATGATCAATAAAGAAATGAAATAAATGAAAACAAATTACCTAAAGTTCCTTTTACCAAGCAAATTTTCCTTTCTTCACATAAAACTTCTCTTTTAAAATGTTTGCATTTTAGAGAAACACCCTACATTCCTTTGATTTTACCACAGTTAAAAAAAATGATGAGGTATTGTTTCCAGAATAGACAGACCAATCAATGGAACAGATAGTAACAAACTTAATTATGCATGAGGATTTAGTATAAGATAAAGGTGACATTTCTTTTCAGAGAGAGGGAACATAAGCAGGGGGAGTGGGAGAGGGAGAAGCAGGCTTCCCGCAGAGCAGGGAGCCCGATGTGGGGCTCGATCCCAGGACCCTGGGATCATGATCTGAGCCGAAGGCAGACGCTTAATGACTGAGCCACCCAGGCGCCCCAGATAAAGGTGACATTTCAAATCTGAGAGAAAAAGGAGTTAGAATAATGGACAATTATTTGGAAAAAAGTAAAATTAATGAACAGTGTCTACCAAATTCAACTCTAGAAGACTTAATGTGTAAAAAAAGAAGACTTAAAAGTACTAGTACATAATATAGTTGAACATTTGTATATACTTGGAGGAGAACTTTCAAAGCAGGACAGTCAAGCCACAAATCATGAAGTGAAAAACAGATCAATCTTACTATATTCAATTTTTAAACATCTGTTTTACAAAGTTAAAGGCAAAGAACAAACCCTAATGAAAAATATTTGAAACACATAAAACAAAAAAAGAACCCTTAAAAATTCCTATGAAAATAATGAGAATCTAATAGAAAAAAAAGGTTTTGAGTTACCATGGATAGTTCCCTAAAGAAAAAAATAAAAGTGGTAATAAGGTTACTTAATAGTTCGTCTTCACTAGCAATAAAAAAATTAAATTGAATTAAACTAACACTGAGGTAAAAATATGTATTTATTAATTTGGCAGACATATAAAAGACTGATGATGATATACAGGCATTGAAAAAGATATGGGGAAATGTCACTCTTCTAACCCTTTGCCTGGAGTGTAAATTGACTTTAGCTTTTCTGAAGAGTGGTGTGTAGTTAACTGTTGATCCAAAAGTTCTAGGAATTTATTCTAAAAATCTAATTCAATAGTTGTATTTCTTAGAATGAAAAATTGAAAATAATTTGTCTCTTCATTAGGAGTTGGTAAATTAAGTTATGCTATAACCATTCAAAATGATAATATAATTGATGAAAGTAGTAATGGCTAATGCTTATAGCATTATATAACACACATAGCTAACACTTTACTATGGGTCAGGTACTATTCTAAGCACTTCATATATTCATTGACAAGGAAAGAAATATATTCTTAAGGAAAAACTTTAATTCTTTTTTGTTTAAAAAACAAAGGCATAAATATGTATATAAAGAAAGACATTCAATCACATTTATGTATGTTTTTGGGTGGTGTATGTCTGTATGTGTGCGGGTAGGAAAAGAAAGACACCTCTTAGTGATTATGTGCCACACAGATCATTTCTTGATTGTGGAATTACTGGTAATATTTGTTTTCTTTCTTTGTACTATCTGTGTTTTCTGAAAGTTTACCAAACAGTATGCTTTAGTGATATATTCAACAAATAATTTTTTAATAGAAATATCACAGTGCCCTGAAGTTACAGAATGCTTTTGGATTATTTGATTTCTTCCTTAAAACTATCTTAGACAACTATTATATTAAAAATAGTATATTTCATTTTTGTTAGAATGAAAGAAAACTTGAAAAAGAGAAAAAGAGACAAAATATGGAGAAAGACAGTGATGGCGGCCCCCTGAAACATAAAGTGGAGGATGAGCAAATAGAGACACAGAGCCAGATCAGTGACAGTAGCCAAAAAAACAATGAGCTTGGAATAGTAGAAAATTATAAGGAGGCATTAACACAGCAGTTGGAGAATGAAGATGATACAGACCAGCGATCATCAGAATCAGGTGATAAATCTAATTATTAAAAAAAATGTATTTATACATATATATATAGACACAAAACTTAACAGTACGTGTCTCATTTGTCATGATTATTTTCACAAAAAATGAACTGTAATGTTTTTTGTCTCCAAATGCAGTATTTCGTCATGGTTTTCTCATGGTTTTGAATTTCTCATTAGTGAATTTGCTAACTTTTGTTTTTATTCATGATGCCTTAAAATATAGTCCTTTGTAATTTAAATGAATTTCAGCAGAAAGTTCTGTTTTCAATTTTATTTCATAAATTTGGAATATAGCATAGTCCCAGGAATCCTTAGACTGTGTTTAACCTTTAAGGCTTTTTTACGGGGTTTTGTTTTAAACTTCATAATACTACAGTCAGCATCATTTCTTTTATTGACTTGCTATTTCTACAGAATGCAGACATGCTCAGTTGAACATTTTTAAAGTCAATAGCCATTTTCCTCTTATTTTAATATCATATAAAATCTTCAATTCATAATTACTTTTCTTTCTCTAAGTGGCTATGTGATTAACAGGAAGTTCATGTCTTTGGTGTCATAGAATCAGACAACTTCGGATAGAATCTAGATATTTATTACATTACATTGTATTGTTTTTCAGTCTTAGTTTCCTCATCTCTAAGATGGAGATAAGCATCATTTTTTTTCCCACAGGGCTTTAAGGTTACTTACAATAAAAATAACGCTGCAGTGTTCCTAGTGCAGGGCCTGACACATGACCCAATAATCATTACTTCCTTGTAACTTCTAGTTAGCAGTATGGTTTCATTATATATAAGAATTTTTGTACAGTATCAGGAAGGTTATGAAAATAAGAATGTAATCCCTGAGGTTCAGATTAGCTAACATGGATATTTTGCTGTATAAAAAAAACTAGATTTGAAAGTTATAAGTTGGGAAGGTAGGGCAGCATATTCATACCCATGTAGTTCTGTTAACAGAGTTAAACAGAAAATAGATTTAAAGTGGCTTCTCAATATATTGAAAGAACTTTTGAACATTAATACTCTTTGTTAAAGAGCAAAAGATTTGTCAGATTGTTTGAAAATATGTTTGGAGAATGAAGATGAAGATCTAAGATAGTCAATCATATAACTATAATAATAATTAACATATCTTATACCATGGAACATGGTTTCAGATATATTATTTAATGCAGGATTATGTTATTTAACATAACAATCCTAGGGTATATTATTCCCATTATTTTGAATAGGAAATCAGGGACTTGGAGAGATTGAGTTACTTGGTTAAGATCATATATCTCATCGGTGGCTGGGCTGAGAGCCCCCTTCATATCATCTGCCCGTTATCCTGTGTTCTTTTATGACCCTGAGCTATTCCCATCCTGAAATACCATATGGTTCTGGACTTTCTCTTTCCTTTCTCTCAGCTGTAAAGCTTAGGTTTTAATTGTAAAATGTCTTTGTTTTTATCTGGAGTAAAATGTCTCAAATGACACAAGTAATTTATTTAGAAAGATAATGTGTTTCTAAACATGTTTATATTTCTCATTGCTTTGCAGATTTCATAGATGTTGGCTATTTCTCATATAACAGATAATTCCCATTTATAAAATGTATTACATATATGTAAATTAAGTAGCTGGGATTGTCAATTAAAATATTTCAGTAACTTTGGTGTTTGGTTATTTAACTGTTATGCTATACTGGTTTTCATTGTTAAAGTTTACATGTTAATGACATAGATGTCCTTAAATTGTTTATAAGTACTTAAGTGAGAATCTGTAGTTATTTTTTTTTAGAAAGAACAAAAATTAATTCTGCAGTCTCTAATAATGTGATTTTGGTTACATGTGTTTATATTAGGCATACATTGTCCAGGGTTATTTCAGTGGGTAATGTGTTTAGATTTGATTGGGGTCTTTTTTCACATTTCAAAGAATTATTTTTGGACTGTTTATACCTAGAATCCATTCTATAAATTCTACTGAGACAAATCAACATCTCTCCCCTTTCCCTCGGCCATTCTGAGTTTCATGAAAATCCCTGCAATTAGGCCATTATATTTATTTAATATGACATTCGGAAAAAATGTAAATTACTTTTGGAAAGGTGAACTTTTTTTTGTATTCTGAATAACCTGTCATAAAACTTAAAATAGAGGCTTTTTGCTGTTTGTATCATATTCATTAATTATTTATTCAATAAGCAATCATTTAAAAAATTTACTCTTAGTAAAGGCAGATTCACATTTCATTACTGGTAACAATTTCCGAAGTTGAAGATGTAGTTTTATGGTAACGATCATATGAATATCTAGTTCCATTCTTTTTTATTATAGAAGTTTACATTTTCCCAGAGGCATATAGTTCCATGTTTTTATTCTTTTAGATAACAGTAAAAAGAAAACTAAGAAACTAAGAATAAAAAGGAGTCACCGTGTAGAACCTGTTAATACAGATGACTCTGCTCCTAAGAGTCCAACACCACCCCCACCTCCTCCTCCTGGTGAGTAAATTGATATTGATACTGAATTTAGAAATACTGCTTTAAACAGTAAGGAAAAAGAAATTTTGTAATTTTATTCCATATGTTTATTATTTTGTGAATTTATGAAAAAGGCAGTTTTCTCTACTTTGTTCAAAATTTATCATTATGTATTTCCTTTTTTAATAAAAAAAAATGTTTTCTAAAAGTAAAAAATAGTCTGTAAAATTAATAAGAACACTTTACCCAAGCACTTCCTAGAATGGATTCAAGTCCTACTTGAAATATCAGTACCCAGATTGCTAAAAGGAATTTAAATGTAATGAATGGATGGCTAATGTAAGTTTTTAAAAAGTTGGATCTTTCATCCTGAAAGTTATCATTTGAAAGCAAGATGTGTGAATTTTTCCAATATATTTCCAACATACATACTGACCTTCTAAGTTGTCATGAGGATTAAAAGGAATATTGCATGTAAAACACTGGGATGTGCTAATCACTCAGTAATTGTGAGAAATTTCTCAGCACTAGGCACAGTACCTCACATACCATAGGTGCTCAATAAATATCTAAATGTATATGTTTATAGTGTCCTTTTAGCCTTGTTAGAAGGCTTTAGGTGGTAACATTTTCCTTTGAGGATTATTTTAAGACTCACTTCTGGTATATAATTTATTAGTAAACATTTATTTTAGCCTTTGCTAGGGGTTGGAATAGTAGCCTAAGGTAATTTTTGATGGTGGTAAATGAAAATGCTTATATTTTTTACTAAAGATAAGTAAAAACTTAAAGCAGAGGTTACCAGCCTATAATTACATTTTTAAATAAAAACTATTTCAAATGGCTTTGTGGCTATTCAGTACTGTGTCATTCAATATACATATATGACTTGACATCAAATATATACATTCTTGTCAAGGGAGGGATCCTCTCAACAGGCCTAAAGAGACGTTGTTTAACAGTGTTTTAAAATGTTTTTCTTTTTCCTTAGTTGGCTGGGGAACCCCCAAAGTCACTAGACTTCCAAAACTTGAGCCTCTTGGTGAAACACGTCATAATGGTAATGCAAAAGGATCAGTTTTCAAATATACATATTACATCCACTTTTCTTTACCTCATTACTTCAACCAACTTTTATTTTTGGAAGCCTTTCGAATCCACAACCATCCTTTTTCATTATACTTCACTCTTTTCATTTAATTTTTTTTATTCTTTAGTGCCTTTTGCCTCCATATAATTTGTTTACCTTGGACTACAGATGTAAAAATAATCATAGTTCATGTTTATCCATTATATATTTACATAAATTGTTATGAAGAGTGAACAGGTATAAAGCAATTTAAATTAAATATGAGACATTACAATTATGCTTGGTGTTAAAAATAGCATTGTCCTATATGTGCTCAGTATACTCAGTGAAAATGCCACATAATTGTTCTTTGTTTCTAATAAGACCCAGCTGCTGAATATTAAAGTCAAGTAAAGATCAACACAGTTTATAAAATCAGAGACTAAATCAGCAAACCAAATAAAGTTCAGCTAAATAGAAAGTTACTAAAGGCTTACTGACTCAAGAAAACAGTTTTCTTTGGATGAAATTAACATAAGGTGTAGTCCAGCCAATATATGGCATTAGAACTCCACAGCTGGAAAACTAGAGAAAGGACAGTTGCGTATAAAGAACTGCCTGATACAAAAGGCGGAAGTTCTGATTTCAGACCATCAGCCCAGGCTCTTTCAATAAAATGTTTCTAGAAGGCAAGAGGGTAATTATGTATATTGTAGCTCAATGAAGTTCTCCATCAAGAATATCCAATTCCCTTTTTGATGGCTCTGTTTACCTAATTTAGAACTTGGATTCCTAAGGAGACCCATTTACCACCAGGAAAGAAAGTCAGAAGTTTAACGTTTACAAAAGCATTATCATGTAACTTGAAATTATGTCAAACTTTATAAAATATTTTTATTCAAAAAGTACATTAATATAAATGACCCATTTGTTTTTCAGAAGAATGTAATGAAATACATCTTTCATAATCATTAGTGAAAATTAAAGGATTTTTTTCATTTCTAAATAGAGAAAAGTTTGTTCTTAGACCATATGGGAATTACAGTGAAGTAACATCTCCGGTTGACTGACTTTACATCAGGATGTTTTTATTGACTGTAATATGTTAGTTCGTGTTTAATGATACTCAAATTGTGCATGTTAGAATACATTATCAGTTTAAATATTTACTGTGTTGTTAAAAAATTAGCAAAGTTAATATACATGTGTATGTATGTATATATTTATGCACACATATATAGAAAAATACTCATTTCTCATAGGACAGACATTTTTTCTCTTGCTGAATTTTAGGCATCCAAAAAGCAAAGTTTTTATATTTGACACCACCTAAAACATTGGTGATACCAAGATGAATAAGACATAAATTCTGCCTTTCTGCAGATCCTGGTCTAATAGAAAAGAGAATATTTGAGTTTACTGTAGTGTATGTGACAATTCACAATATACAGTAATAAGTTCTGTGGTGTGGAATTGGAGTACTGTGCACAGACTGCATGGATAGTTAGTGAAAGTGGTATTACAACTGGGTCTTCGAAGAAGGAGAAGTCAGTAAGCAAAAGAAACAGACTATTCAAAGGTAGAGGAGTGGGAAAGGGTGTTGCTTATTTGGAAAATAAAGTTCCTTGTGATTGAGGCTTAGGTTCATGTAGGTAGGGTGGGTAAGAAGGAGGACATTTGAAGTTACCGAATTTTGAGACTGGAATTATGGCTTAGGGTCAGATTGTGAAGGGCCTCATATATATACATTAAGATGTCTGGACTTCCTGTAATTTTCCAAGAGACACTATACATTTTTGAGCAGGGAAGTAATGTTACTAGATGTGTTGGTTAGGAAAATAATTTTTGTCACAGTGAAAAGTACAGACTTGCTGGTGGCCACACTTGAGGTAAGGATCCCATCTAAGAGGCTGTTCTAGTAGTCACAGTGAGAAGTGAGGAATGGAAATTGGAATGGGGAGTAAAAAATGTATGCTGGAAATATCTTAGTGACTATAAAAAGTAATATTTGATGAATGAATGTATGGGTCGAGGGGAAGAGGAATAGAGGATTATTTACTCAAGTAGCTGGAAGGTTGGTGCTATCTCTGAGATTGAAAACACTTGAGGAAGGAAACCTGCTTTGGAGGTGTCTGTAGGCTTATCTATTTGGAAATGTCTCTTGGCCAATACAAGTAAGATTCAAGAGCTCAGGAGAAAAGAAGGGACTCAAGTGAATGGAGGGTGTGCAGATCTTTTTTTTTTTTTTAGGCGCCATCTCATGATAGGAATTCTTTGCCCGTAATAAATGTGCTGTAATTTTACTGAATTAATGCAGGAGGGGATGATAGTTTATTTCTGAAGGAAATTTTGTAGAACGAGGAGAAAAGTAATGGTAGTATTCAGGGGGAACACAGTTAAGGACAGGTGGAAAAAGGTCGAAAATAGGTTGAGAAGGTCATTTTGTTTTGTTTGTGCTCACTTTCCTGTTTGTTTTTAAATTAGAACTTCTGAGAAAGAATTGTAATAAATTAGTTAAGTTCAAGACCACCATATCCCAATATTTTAGTCAGTTTTCAGTATTAATCAATAAATGTAGCTTCCCAGAGCAGAGAAGAAAACACTATAACTTCATAAGTTTTAAAATATTTTTATCATTTTCTTCCCATAAATTTTAAGTCTAAATATACCTAACCTGGGTTAAAAAAAAAAAAAAAGTACAATCAACTCTTTTCATTAATGCGGAAGAAAGCAGGTATAATTAAAATTTTGAATAAAAAACCTTAAGTTTGTTTTTAGAGTTTATCATGAGATCTTCATCGGAGATGCTGATAGCTGCCAATTTTATAATTGCATCCTCCTCTTTTCTCTAATTTTGTACATATTTCTTTGCATTTGGTGAATGGCAAATAAACAACAGATACATAATGAACTAGAGTAGTAATTAAAAGTTAACTGCAAGTGGCTTGGCACTTAAAATTTACTGGGATGAAAAACAATTTTTTATAGTCACACTGGGAATTTTTAAGGCAGATTCTTTCTTGTTCTTTGATAATTGACATTTGCTTTGATAGCAATTTGATTTTACTTTTCTAATACTATCTGTAATGCTTGCTCAGTTTAAGAGGTAAGGCATGCATTGAGAAAAGAGATGTAAAAAGAATACCTTTACTATAGAAACACTCTCAACCCATACTTCATTAACATGTTATGTGTTATACATTATGAGAAATATATCAAGGATTCTGTTAGCTAGAAATACCAAATGCACTAAAGAATATTTCTAATCTTAAAATGTGAATGAAGATAAAATTTTGTATGCAGTTTTTACTACCCTTCAATTTGATTTTTGAAAAGTTTGAAACTCTTTATAAAAATGTGTGTTAGCAATTAAGTTGGTTTATTATCAGTTAGTGCCCAATTATCAGTTGGGTACTAACATCGGCTTATATGCCCCACAGTTAAGACAATACGAAACCTACTTTGTATAGAATGATTTTATTTTCTGGCAAAGAAATAATACAAAATCTTTACTGCAAAAATAAAATAATTTCCTGGGAGGGAAAAAGATAATTCTTGCTATGTGTATCTGATTTCTCTTTTTAGGAAGATACTTTTAAATTCTAGAAGTATAACACATTAGGAAGTATATTCATTCTGGTTTAATTTTGAGTTCTGTTATGTATTAAAATTCTCATTAATTCTGAATTTAAGAAATTAGAGAAGTCATACTTAAAAGTTGTCAAAAATAATTGTTTTAATTTAAATTATAACAATAATATAGCAATAATATTAACTGTATATTCTGTGTTCCTGGCATATTGTTAAGCACTTCAAGTACTTTATGTCATTTTAATTCTCCTAAAAACCTTGTAAGATGGGCGGAGATACCCCATTTTGTGCAGGAGGAACTTATACTCCAAGGTCACATAGGTACTAAGTAGCAGTATCAGGATTTGAACTTAGGTCTGTCCAGCTTTGAAATCTGTACTTTTAATTCATTATGTTACACTGTTACATCAAGATTTATTGCAGCTATTACTAGTTGCTTGGAATTTATAGTTGCTTGTAAAACCATTTTCTCCTAATACCTCTCTATATTTAAAGTGGTTTTCTTGTAGACAGCCTATAGTTGGATCATATTTTTTGATCCACTCTGACAATCTCTATCTTTTAATTGTTGCAGTTGTACCATTCACATTCAAAATGATTTTTGGTATGGTTGAATTAATATCTACCATATCCATTACTGTTTTCTATTTGTTGCCCTCAATTTTTTTTTTTTTAAGATTTTATTTATTTGAGAGAGAGAGAGAGAGAGCACAAGCAGGGGGAGGGGCAGGGGGAGAGGGAGAAGCAGGCTCCCCACAGAGCAGGTAGCCCGATGTAGGGCTCCATCCCAGGACCCCCGGATCATGACCTGAGCAAAAGGCAGATCCTTAAGGGACTGAGCCACCCAGCCGCCCTTGTTGCCCACATTCTGTGTTCCTATTTTTGTCTTCCACTCTTTTTCTGCCTTTTGTGTATGTATGTGTGTTTTTTTTTTTAAGATTTGTTTATTTTAGAGAGGGAGAAAAAAAGAAAGGGAACGGGGTGGGGGGAGGGGCAGAGGGAGAGAGAAAATCTCAAGCAGACTCCCTGCTGATGGCAGAGCCTGTTCCAGGGCTCCACCCCACAACCCTGAGATCATGACCTGAGCCGAAACCAAGAGTCGGGGACACTTAACCGACTGTGCCATCCGGGTGCCCCTGCCTTTTGTGGGTTTAATTGAGAATTTTATATGATTCCATTTTCTCTCCTTTCTTAGCATATCAGTTATCCTAATTTTTTTTTTTTTTTTTTACTTTTTTTAGTGGCTGCTCTAGAGTTTGCAGTATACATTTTCATTAATCCAAGTCCACTTTCAAACAACAGTATAAATTTAATGGGTAGTGCAAGTACCTAAAATAATGAAATAATCCTAATTCCTTTCTCTGTGTTCTTTGTGTCATTACTGTCATACATTTGACTCATATATAAGCATGTATAAATGTATATATGTATATATACATATTCATAAGATATATACCTTCATATATGTAATCAGACACATTGTTGCTATTAGTATTTTTGAACAAACTTATCTTTTTGATCAATTAAGAAAAATATGTTTTCATTTGACTTATTTCTTCTTTGATACTTTTTCTTTCTTTATGTAGATCTGAGTTTCTGACCTATATTATTTTCCTTCTCTCTAAAGAACTTCTTTTAACATTCCTTGCAAGGCAAGTCTGCTCGCAATAAATTCCCTCAATTTTTGTTTGTTTGAAAAAAGTCTTTATTTTTCCTTTACTTTTGAAGGACAATTTTGCAGGGTACAGAATTCTAGGTTGGTGTTTTTGTTTGTTTGTTTGTTTTTTCTTCTCTGAGCACTGTAAATATTTCACTTTACTTTCTCCTTGTTTGCATGGTATCTGAGGAAAAGTTGGATGTAATTCTTATCTTTGAGCCTCTGTTGGAAAGGTGTTTTTTTCCCCTCTGGTTTCTTTCAGGATTTTTCCTTTTCTTTGATTTTCTGTAGTTTGAAAATGATGTGCCTAGATAGAATTTGGCATTTATCCTGCTCAGTGTTCTCTGGATTCCTTGATCTGTGCTTTGATGTTTGACATTAATTTGGGGGAAATTCTTAGTCATTATCGCTTCAAATATTGTTTCTGTTCTTTTTTCTCTCTCTTCTTCTGGTATTCACATTACAAATAAGGTATGCCTTTTGTACTTGTCCCAAAGCCCTTGGATATTCTTTTCTGTTTTTTTTTCCCCCAGTCTTTGTTCTCTTTGCTTTTCAGTTCCTGAGGATTTTATTGATCTGTTCTCAAGCTCAGAGGTTCTTTCCTCAGTCGTGTCCAGTCTACTAGTAAGCCCATCAAAGACATTCTTCATTTCTGTAGCAGTGGTTTTTTTTATCTCTAGCATTTTTTTTTTTTTTTTTTTGGTTCTTTCTTAGGATTTCCATCTCTCTGCTTACATTGCCATCTGTTCTTACATGCTGTCTACTTTATCCACTAAAGCTCTTAGCTTATTAATCATAGTTGTTTTAAATTCCTGGCCTGATAATTCCGACATTCCTGCCATATCTTCTGATGCTTGATCTGTCTCTTTGGATCTTGGGTTTTTTGCCCTTTTTGGAATGCCTTGTTTTTGTTTTGTTTTGTTTTGTTTTATAGTCTGACATGGTGTACCAGGTGAAAGGAACTGCTCTAAATTGGCCATTAGTAATATGGTGGTGATGGGTGATGGAAGGAGAAGTGTTCCATATTTCTCTGATTAGATCTCAGTCTTTTACTGAGTCTCTGCCTCTGGACTCTGAACTTCACAAGGGTTTCTTAGTTTTTTTTCGTCCCCATTAGGTGGACAAAATGGATAGTGCCAGCTGGAATTGGCGATTTCCTTCCCCCAGTTAGGGTTTGATGATACCATGGTAGGTTAGGCTCTAGTTAATTAGTTTCCCCTGAGGGCAGGCCTTGTTCCCCAGAACAGAGTGCTCTGGGGTATTTCAAAATGGTTTCTTTTTTTCCTCCCCTGCCAGAAGTGGGAGGGGGATTTTTCTTCAATATTTATTGTGGGAATTTGTTCACATTCCTGGAGATAAATTTCACAATATCACAGGGATTCTCTTATGACTTAGTCTCCTTGGAATTTTTAACTCTCCGATTTGTTCCTACTAAGCCTCCAGCAGTTCGTGAAAGTTCAGGTTTTCCTACCAGGCAGTTTTCCTTCCTTTGGCAGTTTCCATTTATGAATATATGCTCTGGTAAACTGAAACTCCCTATATTTGCCTGTGTCCAGTATTGGGGCAGTGGTGTGTCTTGTGACCTCCCCTCTTATGGAAATGAGATGAGTTATTGATTTTGTAGTCTGTTCAGCTTTTTACTTCTTGTTAGGGTGGAGTGGTGACCTCCAATCTCCTTAAATGTGTTATGACTTTGTTAAATTAATATTTGTTAAGTAGGACCTATGGATGCTAGATGGTAAGTCGTGGTTAAAAAAAAACCACAGTAGAAATTGAAATAGGAAAAGTTTATTACTCACAGGTCCTGGAGGAAGTATATGTCCTACCTTGAGGGTTCCACAGGGGGAGATCAAGGCAGGGTGCAGGCAGAGAGAGCTGTAGAAACTGGGCCATATGCTAAGGCCAGACTGGTGAATTCAAAACAAAAAGAATGTAGTTTTGTAAGCTCCACCAGGGTCTTATCTGACAGAAGACCGTGGCAGGTGAGGGAGACTATTGATCACAAAGGGCATTGGGTAAGTTATATCAGGAACTTACATTTACTTGTGACTTTGCAGGCTGTTTTCTAGGGCATGTGCTTATTTGCATGAAGGGCTAGTTAGCTCAACTCTCAAGATATGTGAAACTGGAACAGGCCTCTAATACATTTTCAATATATTTATTTCAAGTGATCCTAAAAATCTGTGCTTCTAGAATAATTTTAAGGTAATAGGCTAGAAAATAATTACTTACTGAAGGTTTACATATGTTATTAAATTTAAGCCAATTTATAATAATTAAGGGACAGGAACTTATTATGAAATGTAAAATAAAACTTTCTTTGTTTCATATATGCCTTAAATCACTGAATTATAGTGAAGCATCATTGTAAATGATTACTACTTACCAGAAAACTAAGATAATTAATTAATTCTTTTCTCAAAATACCTACAAGTAATAACCATTGGATGAGAACACGGATGGTACAAATACTGACTTATCAGGGCCTTGGCAACAGGATCCATAGATTTTTGAATATTTGTTATTTGTTTTATTCTAATGTGAACATGTAATTGAAAATAAAAATAATATATATATTAGATACAGCTTTTTATTAAATCAAGTAGAAATTAATTTATAATCTAGAGTTAGGAATTTATCCTAGTGGTTATGTTTTGAATTTATTCAAGTTTTCTTGGATTTTGATTTTTTTGTCTATTTTCTTCATCCATTATTTTACCCATCAAGTGAGAGTACCTTTCTTTTTTAAAGATGTTGGTTGGAAAATAATGAATTGTATCAAAAATTCTGATTTACCATGACTTTTTTTTGGTGTTCCTTCTTTATGTAGATTTCTACGGAAAGCCACTGCCTCCCCTGGCTGTGCGACAGAGACCTAACAGTGACTCTCATGATGCGGTTTCGTAACCGAGTCACGTGCGTGCACTCTTTTAATGCAGGCAAGATCAACTAGAGGACCTTTTCTCAGAGAGGAAAAACCCTAAACATTGATGACTGGGGCAAGATAACTATAGCAATTTCAGTAAGGAGATGAATAGCCAAAGACCTGACTGATCTGACAATTATCCATGTTATTAACTGTTAAAAAAAAAAAGGAAGCAAAATGACCAGTAGATGGGATGAGCATTTGAATCAAGTTAGCAGGAGTTACTGTTGACTCTGGATTTTACAGTTCCACTCATGGGCATATTCCTCAAGGAAAACCTCTTCAGAAAAAGAGTCAATGGACTCTGCACACTTTCTTTACTATTTGTTTAATAGTCTTTGTTACTGTATCTTACACATTTTTTGTAAGATACACGTGCATGGAAGGGGAACTCTTGGAAATTAATAACCTAAGTTTTTAACTTTTTATATTTTTCTAAAACTGATAAGAATTTTAATTACTATGATATTGACTGCACTTTTCTATAGATGCTTTGTTTAAATTGTGTCTGAAATGGAGTTGACAAACATGAACTATACAAACAGGACAAATTTATATGGTTTCAGGTATGTTTTATGATAGTATTGTTCTTGAAGTGTACATCCTAATTGTACCTAATTTTAAAGTAATACCTTTTTAAAATAGATTCTTAGATCTTTATTCTTCCAAATTATGTTATCTGCAAACACTACCCAAGGAGGGTTCATTTTGTTGTTTGCTTTCTTTTGGTGATGATCACAATAAATGAAAGAGGCTTGAAATACTTTCTTGATCTAAATGCTTTTTAAATTAATAAAAATGCTATGTGAGATATTATTAAAATTTTCAGTGAACACCTCTTTTATGGGATAGACCTTTTCAGATCAAGGTGCTTGTTGTCACTCCCTCATTCTCTCAGAAGCTGAAGTGACTCTTTTGGGTTATTCTAATTCTTTTGTGTCTTGAAAATAAAGGCAAAAAGACTGAAAAAGCCACAGTGGGTACAGAGACTTGGTTTTATAACCAGGAAATGCTTGGGTACTAAATCAATAAGAATAAAAATGTTGGTTTAACATTAGTTTTATAAAGAAAGACTTCCTTTCTCAATTTAAAATAACAGCACTTCCCTTGCACTGAAGAATGGCATCCATATGGATTCTCTATTTAGGCAAACTCTTAGAAATATATTTTGAGTATTAGATTCATAATGTTGCATTTAATTGAAAGTATATATATTTATAGCAAGGTGAAATGCTATAAACAACATGAATCCTTATTACCTTGATAAAATTGGTAAGTTTGGTAACTTGTACTGACAACAAACATATACTTGTATCTGACAATAACAAGATTAAGTATGTCTAAGGCAGTTTAATATGATTATTTTACTTTGGAGCATCACATTTAGTCACATTTTTTAAGTCCCTGGACTTTCATTAATTGGGTCACTTATTACTAGTCAGTATCATAATGCAGTCTTTTGAAGTTTTGTGCATAGGACACCAGGCACACTGAGTAAAAAGCATTCTACTTCAGATATAAAATTCATAACAGCCTAAATTTGATAGGTGGCTGAAATATAAGGAAAAGCAACACAAGGAGACAGAATGTAAATTTTGAACTGGATTGTAGAGAAAAACTTATTTGTACATCTTTTTGGTTCCTGTTTGTAACATTTACATTTATTCATTTTTTTATACACTAAAACTTTTGTCATCCTTTTAATTTTCATCTAGTTTGAGAATAAATAAAAGTTTAAAAATTTTGTTTCCTGTAAGTAATTACTGTAGTGTACAATAATACTGAGTTCATTTATTAAAAATGAATAAAAATTTTGAAATTAAATATATGATAAAGTGAAATAAATGTTTTATATATCTCTCAAAAAATTGATTTGTATTCTTAAAGCATCCTAAAGATATTTTAAAAGAAGTTTTGTAAATCCAGGTTGCTTTTAACAAGTAAATGCCTATTTTGTTATATGCTGCATTTTTATTCTTAATTTTCACGAATTATGACATTTTCACACAATAAAAATAATTTATATCAGTATGCGGTTTTGCTTTTCATTTGATAAATTTAAATGATTTCTTTTTGGTAAGAAAATAGAAAAGGAATTTTCAAATATGACTGTTGGAAGAAATCTTAAGTTGATAGATAAAAATAATGACTTTCTATTTTACATGAAACCTTTTTTCTCTGCACAAGTTTTCATATATGTGGAAAAGAATATTGTCATTTTAAAGGCAGCTAAAAATATCATATCACCTTATGATCCTAGATGATCCAACGTCTGTCTTTTGTTACATTAAAATTACTGACCCAAAGATATATTTTTACTTATTTAAAAGATAATTCTATATGCCTCTAACACAAAAGGCATATATGACATACATACAATATTCCTTGCAACACTAGAAATGTTATAAAATGTTAATAATGAATTTTTTAGAGTTACTGGTTGTGTGTTTTCCTCAATTTTTCAAACTAGTTTTTAA